GTGAGAATGAAGCAGGTCAGTTAGCCCATCATGACGAGTTTATCAATAATTAACCATGTTGGTTTCCAGGGGTAATCGCGTGGAGGTCTACCTGATAGGCTATATTGCTAACAATGGGGCAGTCAGATTTCATACTAACAATCCCTTTCCCCCCCTTTTATGCTGGTTAGGTAATAATATATCTCAATGCATAGGTCGGCGGGAGTAAAAATATACATACATACATACATTTCTGTCACGTTTATCTTCCATTGGGATAGACAGAAATAACGTAACGCCAAATGCTCCCATTCACACATATCGATTTCATTTCCTCCACATTGATCAATCTATTTATTCATCTATTCATGCAAAAACAAGTCTGCTATCTTTATCACTATCACTACAAAACAAAGCCGCTTCCCGTCTATCTGTTTTTATGTATGCTTACATCTTCAAAACTACGCAACGGATTTTGATGCGTTTTTTTTTAATTGATAGAGAGATTCAAGAGGAAGGTTTATATGTATAATACATGCATAATATAGTAGGGGAACACTGATAATTTTAGAGGTCTCTAATGTGATGTGATGAGCACCCGTGCGAAGCCGGGTCAAGTCGCTAGTTAATATTATAAATCTGAGAATTTGTTTGTTACCTTGTAGCTCTTAAGGCTTAATCAAATTATCACTATGTATTTTGGTATACACGTACTGTTTGGGACGGGGAAGGTTGTAGGCCACTTCTTGTCCCGGTCACTAAACATATCTCGTCTACGCGGACGAAGTCGCGGGTAAAAGCTAGTAATTCATAATTAGTAATAAAAAAAAAAACAATTAAATTTCGCTATTTGTTCGTTTTATGTACTGTTACATCGATAAAAAGAAATGCCTAGATTGTTTAGTAAATATGCCGGGTATAAAAAAACAAAGTGGCGGTATAATGCGGTGCGCCGATGGAGCGAAGTGGGTGGTCGGGACGTGTTGCAGACTCGACACCGTTGTGATCATTCACAAAACTCATTGATATATCAAATACTTTAGATACGCAGACATTCAAAGGTGGTAATGAAAATTTACCGCATTTAACCAAATTTATATTAATTTTTAACTAAACAAGCTGAAGTATTTTTATAATTTATTTATTTCTATGCTTTTGTACATTCACTTAATAGTATAGATATTAGGTTATAACAAAAATGTACACAGGTGGACTTATCCGTTGAGGGGATTTCTTCCAGTCAACCTTGAGAATCCTAAACGAGAAAATGTCTATAGGGTGCATTGCATATTAAATGGAATATTAAAGTATCTGACTTCATTCATTTTTTTTTTTTTATACATGGAATATTAATTTAAGCCTTTTTTTAAGTATATGATTTTCGATTCACAATTTTTATAATGATTGGTCATTCATGGTAACAAACAAACAAATCCAAACTCTGTCACATTTATTTTTTTTTAATTTATTCCAAATATTGTACATGGCGGACTTACGCATTATCCCAGGGAATTAATGTAACTCGAATGCCTAGTAATTTTAATATCGAATTCATATATGTAAATATATATAAATAAATTTTATATATGACTGGTCTATATTTCAAGTAATATGAAGTGGATAAAAAACAAACAAATCCTTTTTTTGAAAGACTCTGTCACATTTGTATGTCGTCGGTACAATTCTAAGTCTATATTTTAAGTGTGTGACTGTGAATCTTGGTTTTTCTTTATATCAATGAGAATAATGCTAAAATTTCTTTGAAATCAATGTACGTACAGCTGTCAGTTAAATAAATTGTGTTTCATAAAAAGACTAACTTCAGTTACGGCAAAATTAATTATATTCATTTTAAAACTGCATTACTGTACCGATTTTAATACAATTTCTGTAGTACCAATTTGTAAGTATATATTTTCAGATAAAACAAGAATTTTCCAAGGTATTTTGTGTAATTGGTATTTTTCAAGGTAATTTGAGGTAACAAATACAAAAAAAATGCAACCTAATTGAGAACCTCCTTTTTTTAAGTCGGTAGAAAGAAGGATTCTTGTAACTGAACCCATTTACACGATGCCGCGCGTTCGGAAGCCGTACTTAACGTTTTTAACAAGAAATATGTCAGTTGGTCAGTGAGTCCCCATTTCTTAACCCCTCACGCAGTAAAAGCCGTGCTATACTCGTAGTGCGCGGGAACGCGTAAAATTTTATGGAGTAATTTAAGATTTATTCCATAAAGAAAAAGCAAGTTGCAATGTAATATCTAACAATTTATATATATGGGGCCAACATTGAAGTAAAACGTCATTTATTATATTAATTGGGCCACCATTTAGGGATAACGCAAGAGGAAGGAACAGCTCAGTTGACCCTGGTGACGTATTCATAGATAATTAACCATAAAGTTTTCCAGGAGGAACCGCGTGGAGGTCGACCTGATAGGGTATATTGTAAGCAATGGGGCTGTTAGGTCCCGTCACTAACGATCCCTGTTTCCACGTTCTGATGTCGCGACATATTACTATCGACAAAACAAACTAAATTTTGCGTCGAAGTATTTAACATCCGAATTGATATCGTTGGACACACACACACACACACACACACACACATATATATATATATATATATATATATATATATATATATATATATATATATATATATATTCGATAATACATATATTCGAATAGGTAACGTTATTACGTTCAGTGTCTGTCAAACACACACACACACACACACACACACACACACACACACACACACACACACACACACACACACACACACACACACACACACACACACACACACACACACACACACGTACATATATATATATATATATATATATATATATATATATATATATATATATATATATATATATATATATATATATATATATATATATATATATATATATTCGATAATACATATATTCGAATAGGTAACGTTATTACGTTCAGTGTTTGTCCGAAGCAAATGTGTCATATCATTTCAATCCATTCACGCACCATTCAAACGCTGACCCTTTGCGATATCGCAACCAACTGACACAAGAAAGTTTATAATTTCACACAATAAGTACGCGAAATAGATTGGGCGATAGTTTGACGGATCAGTTTGCAGGCCACTTGTATATAGGTATTATAGCACCCTTTGCCCCGAGGACAGACTCGTTCAATTATAAAATTGCATGCTTTACAATACAAAGAACGATCGGTACCTGAAGTGAGAAGGTAGCATGCCCCACAATACGCACCCGTTGCAGTTTTTGTTAATATCTCTTTTCATTTAAGAGTTTCCTTTTGTCGGTGCTACTAATTCATGCATCTTCTTCCAGCCAGCTCTATCCCAGGCCGTATCTTTCACCTGTCTATACGACATGACATCTAGTGTTTGCTATATATATATCCCATGTACTTATTTCTCGGTCTCCCCTTCCTCGTTTTTTTTCCTCTATTTGTTAACATATAAATTTTTTATTGATTACAATTATTAGATTCGCGATTTTATACGTGTGATTAGCGTTTTGACGGGGCACCAGTGAGGGATGATAGGTGAGGATTAAAAGGTTAGATCAGTTAGCCTATGGTGGTTGTTTATTATGTATATAATATGAAGAAACGTCCACTCATAAGTTTGTGTCACTTTACGTCCAAAATATATTACTGCATCGTACATGAATACACCTGGAATAGAACACGACAGTTTCCAGGGGGAATGTAAAGAAGTCGACCTGATAGAGTGTTTTGTTAGCAATGGGGCTACTAAACCCCATTATTAACAATCCGTTCTCGCCTCTGTGATCAGGGTATATTTAAATACTATCAAATATATTTAACTATACCAAAGTTGTTCACTATGTTGGTCATATACAAATATGTACATGTAATAATAATAGATATAAAGAATTAACAAACAGACAGACCCCTCCTCAAATTCATAAACCGGTTCTTTCATCCAGACGTATTAAGGTCGTGACTTATAATTATATAATACAAAATCGTATATAATATAAAATCAATTCAACAATCCAGAGAGGCAGTGCTGCCAGTATCTTGGAGTACGCTGCCTCGACTACTACTTGTACTACTTGGGGAGGCTATTATTGTACTCTTAACAAAATTAGTAATGCCATGTAAAAATAAATTCAATTCAATAATATATAATTATAATAATAAATAATAAATTAATAACTTTTTTTTTCGAGTAAACTTAATAATAAGCATTTTTGAATAGTCATTTTTTTGTAAACCACGGCCAAGTTCGGAATGCAATTTCACCTGAACGGACAAGAAACACAGCTGTTGCTTTTTTTTTTAATAATAGTTAAGTATGCAATAAAAAAAATGTAAATGGATAAAATGACTATCACAAACTTCGTATTTATAATAAGAAAGAAATTAAAAAGCTACCGAGCTATGTACAATCAATCACAGTATTCTTGAATTGACCAATACAACAGACATAAGAACAAACAAACATTAAAATTTTGTTCCATAATAAACGTCCGCTGCAATCTTGATTTAATAAATACCTACGAGATATTAACACGTCATAAATTCTATCTTTTGCCAATAGAATCATCAACTGTTCAGAAATGACGAAGATATAAAAAATACAATCGTCCTGATAATCTCCCTCTTTTTTGAAGTCGGCGGAAAATGTCGAACAAAAATTTGACCCTTCATTGTCCTGCTTGTCAACTCTTAGAATGAAGTTCATTGAACACTGCTTCGCTGCATGTTATGTATTTCAAAAATATGACATGTCGATATACTTTTACGCTACCTGCTTTGTCCTTTATTGTATGGGGTGATTATTTGAAAAGAAAGTAGAAAGGGCGAGATCCTTTTCCCATGGGCGCAAGGTGTTTCGAGTTCAGTCACCATGCAAACTTTTTCGAATATCGAACTTCTTGTCTATGATTTTTTCTCGGATTGTGTTGTCTGTGGTTTGAACGGGTGGACCACCCGTCGCGACTTTTTCGATAATCGAACGAAACGTAATAATAGGTCATTATTTCACCAGCTGCACCGAGAAAAACAAGTAATGCGTCCATTCAAGTGTAAAAAGTTTAAATTCAAATGATGGCGCTCCGGCATGACGTCACCAACATGGACGCTGGGTTCCTGCCGGCGGACCCTCCTCCCCTCACCGACGATTACCAGCCGAAGACCGACCTGGCCACCGAGTATTTCAATACCTTCAACCAGATATGTGAAAACTACAGGCCCGATACAGAACTAAACCTTCGGCATACCTCGGACTCGCTTCGGCTGTCCTCGGAGATCTTGGACGGTGTGAGAACAGAGTACACAGACTTTGATAAATACAAAGAGGATAGAACAAGCGAATTTGTTACTACGGACTTTAACGCGAAAGTGTTTTTAAAAGACAGTAGGCCGTCTGCCGAATACGTTACTACAGACTTCAATGAAAAAGTGTTTTTAAGTGCAAAGGACGAGAGTATATTTCAGTTCGGTCAGCCCGATGCCTCAGCTTTGTTGAGGCACCGCGCTCGGAGAAGATACAACGAGGAGCACGGACTCCAGCCGCCTGCAGCCACCAGCCAGGAGAGTGGGGTGAGTTCTGTAAAAAGCTTATGTGGGATTTGTGTGTAAGGGAATAACTGTGATTTTTTTATACTACTATAACATGGAAACATGGTCTTTATGATGGTAAACATGGTTACCATAACCTATGGACAACTGTAACACTAGGAATGTCACGCGCGCGTTGCCAACCCTTAAAAAACTTTAATAGGCCTTCTTTGAAGATCCCATACTGTACTGTCTAGGTAAAGCCTCGGCAGGAAGATCATTCCATAACCTGTTCGCGGGAGGAAGCTCCTTTGTGCTAACCGAATCTGCTCCTCTGTGTATGCGCGAATTGGAATAAGACTGGCGTAATATATAACATAGATATGACAGAGAGAGGGAAAAAAGAAAGATGGCGATATAAAAAGAACTAGTGAACGGCTCTCTTAGTGCTTTTTCGATATTTGTAACTCTTTAATTCTATAACTTATTAAAACTAAGTTCATCAGATCTACAATTATTTATGCACTTGTAACTTATTAAGGTTTTGTTTTTGGCAAATGGCAAACAAGCTGACGTCCCAATTGATAGAAAGTGGTAACCGTCGCCTATAGACATGAACAGTACCGTGGACATAACAGAGTATATTCTATAGCCCATGATACCTCTCATGCGTTGCTATTCCTGACAACTGAGGTGTTTATTTTATGGATGATAATGGAATGATGACCCCGCCTGCGCTAACGGTATACGCTGGCGGGGTACTTGTGAGGAATGACAGGTGAGTATGAAGCAGGTCAGTTAGCCCATCGTGAAGAATTCCACGAGAATTAACAACGATGGTTTCTAGGGGGAACCGCTTGGAGATTGACCTGGTAGGGTCCTCCTAGCAATGTATCCTATATCTTACATATACATACACATCCTATATTCCTAGCAATGGGGTTATTAGACCCCATTACTAACAATCTTTTTCCATCCGGACAAAGGTGTTATACCTCTGTGCCCTGTAATTTCATTGCCACATCCCACCCTTAAAACTGAACCACAGCCATGCAAACATAACTGCTTTTCGATAGAAACTTGAACGGGGCAGAGATCCCATCCGTGAAGCAGTTGTGTTTGCATGGCTGTGTTTCGGTTTGAAGAGTGAAATATGGCAGTTTACAGGGTACAGAGGAATAACACCTGAGTTTTCAGGAATGGCAACGCATGGGAGGTATCATAGGCAAAACAGTATACTCTGTTATGTTCACGGTACTGCTTATGTCTGTAGGCGATGGTTACCACTTTCTATCAGGTTGGCCGTCAGTTTGTTTGCCATTCTAAATTGCATAAAAAAGGTATCCAAGCAGGCGACTTTTGTACAAAGTGTTCTCTCTGGTAAAATTTCTAGGTAATGATTAGATAACACGGCATTGGTGGGCGCGAGCCGCGCCGCCCACCGTTACGGGAATGACTGTAAACCAATTATACGTACACATAAATACTAGTGTTTCTAAATATACACACGCACCGTACGCGCTCCAAATAGTATTTTGCTATTTATGATAGTAGCCGGAACGTAATTAATGTTATATTTCTTTTATATGCAGCGGCAGCGAGCGATACGAGAACTGGGCTGGTGATAATTGAGTGGCAAACAAGCTGACGGCCCACCTGATGGAAAGTGGTAACCGTCGTCTATACACATGAGCAGCACCATGGACATAACTGAGTGTACTGTTACGCCCACGATACCCCCCATGCGTTGCCATTCCTGAGTACTCAGGTGTTATTTCTCTGTACCCTATAAATTCACGCCATATCCCACCTTTCAAACCGAAACACAGCCATACAAACACAACTGCTTTACGGTTGAAACACGAATGGGACAGAGGTGCCCAAGCAAACGACTTTTGTACAAAGTCTCCCTCTGGTAATATTGATTATTAGTAATGAGGATTAGCAACCCTATGATTAACAATAGACCCTATCAGGTCGACCTCCTCGCGCTTCCCCCTGGAAACCATAGTGATTGGTTCATTGTTGAATTTGTCACGAGGGGCCTACTGACTTGAGGGTGTATCATGGAATGTTTTCCGAAATATCGGAGCCGAACGAAACAAATTTGATATTAAAATTACATAACACATACAATTTAAAAAAAAAAATTAGAATAACATTCCTTTAGACTTTTATGGTAGAATTTATGAACAAAATGTTAAGCTCCATTTACTGGAACGATTTCGGTATGATCGAAAAACGAAATTGTGTTTGAAAATTCGGAATTTCATTTTATGGTAGATCCCTATTTTTATCATTTCTTATTATCTTTCAGTGTTTCATTCTCACCCATTAAAAAAAAGTTAATTTCCTCGAACAAAACGAAATAAATGATCAATCATATGGAAAAATCACTATTACAGCGCCCTCTGTGTGCGTACAGTCGCGTAACGCGATACTTTCCGTTCGGAGCGCACGTTTTGACGGGTACTAATGGATTCTGTAAGCTGATATGTTGTATCGGCGATGTCCCGCCATTTTTGTTGTAGCGATCATGATTACATTGAATGTTAAGAGATTTTTTTTTTAAATATCGAATTATGAGGCTCAGACAATTTGGATGAGTTATGACTGTAAAGTAAGAGATGTAAGCAGAGATAATGGTTTTTATTAAGAACAATCTTTTTAAGCTAATTTGAAAAAAAAAAAAAAAAAAAAAAAAATTACGTGTATTACGCAGTTACATCGTCTATTGTGAACCAATTTGATTGACTTTTTGCTCTCTATAGGATTGTGTTCTGAGGAATTGTATGTATAATGTATGAAATTATGCCCATAGCCACTTTTTAATATCGAAGTCATCCTCACATCATCAATGATAGAGACAGTAACGGGCCATTGTCCATTAAAGAAATATTTATACGCAATAGGAGCCACAGACAGCCCTCTATGTCGAGGCTGTTTCGACGCCGAAGAAACGGCTGCCCACGTAATCCTGGAATGTGAAGCTGTGGCCCATCAACGTTTAGAAATCCTCGGAACGGTGAGGTCGCTCCGCGAGGCCTGTAAAGGTACCAGGAAGCTTCTGTGCTTCTGGGCGGAGCTAGGTTGGCTGTACTAGCCAAAACTCATACGCACAACGGCCCAAATGAGAGGCTAAGCGCGGAAAAGAGAGTCCAAATTACATTACATTAAACATCATCTTTATAATGTCAGCCGTTTATTGTTCACTGCTGACCATAGGCCTCCCACATAAGGGAGATTCACTCAGTAGTTGCCACGCTTGGCAGTCTGGTTGGCAACCGCAGTTAGGTTTTAGTGATGTTTTAAAAGGGACGCTGCTGCCCATCCCTCGACTATTAAGGAAGGCGTGGCCCATTCTATGCCGAGATCATACGGGGCAAAGTAGCATCCTCACATTATAAAACCTAAATGGTATAGTTCAATGTGATTTCAGAGGATTTTCCTTTTGTAAATGCTCAGGTTGTGAAATCTTGTGAGCTCCCTGCTGAGGTTTTCCCTAGAGATTACAGTATGGGGTTCTTCAAAAAGAGTATGTTAAGGTTCCTTCAGGGTTCGCGTACGTGACACCTGTAGCAAGCGTCCATAGGCTACAGTGACCGTTTACAGTGATCATTACGTTGATCAGACAGGCCGTATACTCCTTTGCCATCATATATATATATATATATATATATATATATATATATATATATATATATATATATATATATATATATATATATATATATATATATATTTTATGTCTACATTTTAAAAACTAGTTGGCGTTCTCTTTATAAAATTTGCCGAAAATAGATATTAATATATACGGACTACTATAACATACTACTAGTTCTATTGCTAGCAATTATACGCTATCAGGTCGACCTCCACGTGGTCCCCCCTGGAAACCATCGTGCTGAATTCCAGGTGTGTTCATCAAGATAGGCTAACTGACCTGTCTTTTCATTCTCACTTATCATCTCTCACTGGTGTCCCGCCAGCGAATGTATCGTTAGGCAGGCACTGCTGCTGGGTTGATTTTTTGTAATGGATGATAATGGAATGGTAACCCCACCCGCGCTATCGGTATACACCGGCGGGGCACCAGTGAAGGATGATAGATGAGGATAAAGTAGGTCAATTAGCCCATCGTGACGAATTCAACAAGAATTGTTCACGATGGTTTCCAGGGGGAACCATATGGATGTTGACCTAATAAGGCATATTGCTAGCAATGGGGCTGTCAAACGGCAGGCAGGGTTACCATTCCATTATCATCCATTAAAAAATATATACAAACAAATACATATATGTACATATATACGTGTGTACATATAAACAAATATATACATAAACATACACATACTTAAATAGTACACATACAAAACGAGAGAAAGAAAGTGGAAGACGAAGAGAGAACACGGGAAAATAGTACTCAAAGAGAGAGATAATAGAGACTAAACAGAGGTTTTGAAGCTAGCAAGAGATTGAGCGCACCAATTAAAGGCAGGTAGTGAGTTCCGCATGCTTTATTCGAAGATCAATTATTGGTGTGATCGATTAGCACTTTATTATTATAGTATTGAAGTTTAAAGTTGTTATTGAGCGGTGATGAAGACAATATCAACTTTCCACAGCTCATTCGAGGCACCGTTTAAGTAATGACTGCACGGACGCGCCGCGATTTATGAATTATACTTTTTAATCACCGCCGATGTACAGAAACAAAAAAATACAAGATCGCATCCTGTTGTGTGGCTCGAGTTACGAGCTACAGCGGGCCACTATACGCTTGGCTTTTGGTCACAATAGAAGACTAGAGTTTTGCTATTTTCAGGCCAAAGCAATGAACTGTGGCTATTTTGTGTTAGTATGGCACTCACACATGAAAAAAATTATTCTTTTTATTATGTATTTTTTTTTGTATATTTATTTTTTCTCTCTTTGTGCATATCTACTTGTGTCTGTAGTTATTTGTGTGCTGTAATTGATGCAAATATATTATATATCTATTTGTTTACAACATTCATAATAAAATATACACCCAGTGGCAA